ATGCCATCTCTTGAACAGAACTGGGGTTGGTGCTGTTTAGAATAATCATGCCTTCCTTTCCACTACTCTTTCTTCTAATGTCACACTGGTGACAGAGTTGGGATAATCCGTTTGCAACATATATAAGTGCTAGGCCCAAGGACATCAGAGACAGGGTTCTCTAGACAATGGGCAGAGAAAACTTAGTGGAGGGTAGCTATTAGATTAGTCGGCATCCATTTCCCCATCGCCTGGCAAAAGTAACCAGCATTTCTTGAGGGGAATTGCCCACACAGAGGCTCTATGGTTTGGGTGGGACAGTCCCCTTCTCAGCCCAAAGGGTGCTAAATAACCAAAGGAAAAAAAACAATCAGGCCTCAGCTACAACAGATCGAATGATGACTTGTTTTTATTTGTAAATATCAACTCCAGGACTTGTGTTCAAAATTGTGGGGTAAGAGAAGTTCTAGTTTTCTCTGTCACAGAATATTTATATTTGAAGAGGGGATACTAAATATCCCAAAAGTATGAGGCTGCAATGCTGGTAAGATAGGAAATGGAGTGACCACTTGGCGTATTGAGGTGTGTCCAGGGCTACCTGGGCCTCAGGCAAGTTCAGCCTCTATCTCACACCACCTATCAGAACCCTCCCCCCACCCCCAAAGCCCTAAGCACCCCGTTCTCTACCCACAGGTTTTCTGTCAATCCAGCCGACCATCAGCTTCTAAAAAGCAGGGCCACTTACTCATACCACTTAACATAGCTTGCTAAATAATTATTCATGATTTCATCACAAAGGAAAAAAAGCCAGGAGATATGAAATGGAAACATTCTTGATTTAATCACTAAGGGACTTGTGGGGTTCCAGCCCCTCTGCTGGTTGTAGACACGACCTTCACTTCTTTTTCCTTCTTCTGGCTTTTGCCCTATGGCTGAGCAGTCTGAGTACAAATGTGGTGACAGTGCCATTCTCACCTAATCAAACCAGAGAAATTCAACAAACCACCTTGTATGATGACACCCAGGAAAACTAAAGGACCACATGTTGAGGAGATGTGTGAGTCACTGAGCCACACTTCCTTTGCTCCCCTCAGGGGCTTTGTGTCTAAAAGGAAGAAAACACCAGCAGCTCTGACCTGGGCAGACCTTCAGGGAAGATGCATCCACTCCTGCTCTTGTTGGCCTTTCTTCTTCTGCCCACTGGGGCCGGGACAGGTGAGTGACCATCCCAATCCTGAGGTCTGAGCCCATCTCATATAACTCCCTGTACTCCTGACCCTTTAGTCCAGCACAGGCAGGGATTGTCCTCCATTTGAACCCAGGGGGTTTCTGAACCCCAGCTCCCAACCCAACCCCAGACCATTAAGTCCCATGTAGATAGATACTCAACAAGGATGGCCAGGAAGAAGGCTTCCGCCACAAGGTCTTAGCCTCCCTCTTATCACCTGGAAAGCAGGTTGTTCATAGAAAGGCAATTGGCAGAGGATGTGAAGCTACAAAAGACAAGTAAACTTCCTCACTCTAACCCAGGAGTTGGCACCTCAGACAAAATGCCTGCAGTAGTGAGAGTTGTCGTAGGACCA